ATGCTGAAGCATGTTTCCTCTGTTATCTTTCTATAACTTACTCATATTCTTAAAAAGCTTCAGATTAGTAAACGACTTATACTCTTCTAAACATGCTGACGCTAATATCTTTCTCAAGGACATTACATATTTACGTATAAAATGTTCGTGCTCATCTAAACATGTTTTCGTGTTATTCAGTTCGTTACAAATGTTTCTGTAAAATCTTTGTATTTCATCCCCCAAGTTTTTTTAAAGGTTGTATGTATTATTTACAAAGTGTGTTAATTTTGAAAAAATTGTCCGTTTGTATTTCACCCCCAAGAAAATTTTTACTAAAGAGAGGGGTAGATTTTGATACTCTGTACTCTGTTTTGAACCCCATGTTTCAACTTGTTTTTTTAAAGGGGAGAACTCCTGTTTTATTTGTAGTTGCAGAACATTTGCATGTCCCCATTTTTGGAAATTGATTTCGTATTAATAATAGTGTGTATATATTTTATTTGCTGTGTTGTACATGATAAACTTATGCAATATCCTGTTTTATATCACTGTATAAGTAGAATTTTTAGCGAGGATTTAATTTTGGCATTATTAGCGAGGGTGCCGAGATCGCTAAAATTAAATATCGCTAAAACTTAATTGCATTTATTTGTTATAACTTCTTTAACGTGTATTTCAAAATCGCTAATATAACATCTCGCTAAAAATAAATTACTAGTTTTTCAGGACAAATCGCTAAATTTGCGTCTCGCTAAAATTTCCTTATACGATAGTATTTGCAGACAAGATCAATGCATATCAGACCTATGAACAATAACTGGTATATAAAGCCCTATTATTTTGCATCTTGGTTATCTGAATTGTTTCCTTGTCTCACTTGTTCATGCTAATTATCAACATTGACTAGCATGTTGAAATTTGGATGCTATTATACTGCAAACATTACAGAAAATAGAATGTTCATATATGTTAATATACAGTTATGGAATGGGTACGAAGGAAATAGCAAATTTATGGTTCCCCGAGGGAGGAAACGATTTCCCGAGGCGGCAAATTTGCTATTTCCCAAGTTCCCATTCCATAACTGTTTTATTATATCGAAACAATCATAGGCGATTTAATTTTTATTTACCAGATATTCCGACATAAAAAACACAATAGAGGCATAATTACAAATGCGTGCTGTTTAACAGATTGTATAAGTAATACATCGTGTCCTAAAACAAATAAATTATTTTTAAAAAGTATTTTCACTGACATTTCGAATAATTATTGTTGTCTTCATTTTGCTAGAATTCAAGTATGAATTTGACATCGCATGTCGAAATGTTTTGACGTCATAGTTACATTCCTAATAATATTACGTCACAGTCTCGCGATTCCTTGAACGCTCCGCCTACTAACACTTTGATTGGTTTAAATTACTAATAAATATTTATGAGTGAATAGTCCCAGGGAGTACCTCTGATTTTTCAAGGAGTAGTCCCCAGGTGAGGGAAAGAATCTCTTCTCGGGGAAATAGACAGTTTTATGGTATTAATTTTATATACAGTAGAGGTATAATAATCTACAATGTATCACTTATTCAGTAGTTACTAATGGCTATTGTAATGTTTACAACTAAAGATGGTTGAAGATAAGATTTTGTTCCTTTAAAGAAGCCACGGGAGGAAATCGAGATTGTTCAAAACCGTTATTAAGGTTTTTAATCTTGTTTTGCCATGTACAAAGTCATGTCCAAAATCAGTTGCCACAAAGCTGTCTAATAACTAATCTATTCCCAGTATAGAATCTGAAGGAATAAGGGATTTCATGTGTTATATATTATTGGATGATAGTATATATATAACTTGATCCGATGAGTCGTATCGGGTTAGGTTCACAGGCGCTGATCATTGGATCAAACGAGATGTCTTGTTTGATCTTACGATCCGCACCTGTCAGCGGGACGTGATAAGGCTTTTCGGATCAAGTTACAATAATAATGATTTTATTTTATTATATACCTAATGTGTTTCACTCAATTTTACTGTTGATTTTACGCTCTTACATGTACGTGGCGTCGTTATCCGACTTTCCGGATCACCACACTGTGGTTTTCTGAATCCATATCACCACTCTCTGAAACTGATGACGTAGTACGCAGAAATATGGAGTTGTTTTTCTTGCGTGTTAAAAAGTCCCTTTCTTATTATGCTTTGTTTCATTGATAAATATTATACAATTGATCTCTAAAGTTTTCTTTTGCTATATTTTGCTAGTTATGATTGGGTATATAATAAATTTATCATTATAACAAAGAGTCGTATCACGTCTCGTTGACAGGTGCGGGTCATCAGATCAAATTCGACGCTTCGCGTCTTGTTAGATCTGATGATCCGTGCCTGTCAACTCGACGTGATACGACCCTTCGGATCAAGTTACTATTATGATAAAATAAAAATATATATACCCCTCTATTTTCATAAAATATAAAAAAGGTTATGAGTAATTATACATGATAGTTAATCCATTGATTGAAACGCTTTTCCAAGGAACTCTTTTTACGCAAAAGAAAAAGTCATGTTTCTTTGTACTACGTTATCAGTCTAGAAAGCGGTGACATGGATATGGAAAACCACAGTGTGGTGTTCGGAAAGCTGGATCACAATTTCACGTGATTGCGTTAATTCAACAATATATTTGAGTTTGGTGTGTAATAAATATAGTTGCTACATGTACGTGCCCAAAATTTGGGCTTGCTTGGTCTCCTTGTATCGTTTTTGAACCTTATGTGCTCATAAAGTGAAAATGAAATGATCTAATATAAGGACTTTTGAAAAATTACGAAAAATGTTGTTGTATGTTTTGGCTATAAGAAATGGGATTTGCTTCTTAAGGAAATCAAGTGACACATGATAGCGGTTTTTTTTTGTACTGATTTAGAAATGTAAACAAGTTCATAGAAATCAATAACAACATAGTCTTTTTTGTAAGGCTGATTATATAAATTGTATATATTTTAGAAGAACTTGGATTTAATTTTACAACTGGTTATCCAACTAAACCTCATAGCTTCCTTTCTTAGAAAGAAATTCTTTAAAATCATATGTCAGTTTGAATATTTTTGCATGTAACATCCTAAACAACAAAAATGAAACTTCATAAGAACCCTTACAAACAAAGATACAAAGCAGGTTCCAGTAAATGTCCAATCAGGCCTTTTTCTTTACTCCTAACTTAGATATTAACAGTAGTTATGGAGAAACTTCAAGAGTACTGTACAACAATATCTTCCAGAAGGGTTGTAAATCAGATATGCATGCTAAAAAATTCCAAAGAACTTCTTGAAAATTTACAATCACAAGATTTTACCAAAACTACCAACTTAAAAACTTACGAATTTTTAACTTTAATCACTTTTATTCCTAACGATAAATTAAAGTAAATCCAACTGTCCGTCAATTAAAATATCACCTGCCTATTTGGTGGAAATTTAATTACCCAACGGAGGTGTGAAATGAAACATATGGTGAATACAAAGAGTATTCAAGATCAAAAGTTCATAAACCAATACAAAATAGCAGAGCAAATACGGACCTCCAAGACATCGGAGGTGGGATAACATGCCATGGAGGAGTGGGCATCCCCAGTCGATCGGTTACACTCATCGTGTGCTCCTTGTCATAATTGGGAAATAGCGAAAAAATCCGTTGTCAATGCCATGTGTAAATAATGGACTAACAATTGGTAAGAATAAATGTCAGTCAGCATTTGACTGAATGATGAATTGTATGACAAGGTCATTGTATCGACCAAGGAACTTACAAAATGATGACTTTAAACGAGACTCCTGATATTCTTGTTTCATCCATCTGTTTGTCAATAATTTAACTCGTTTTAGAAATTGTTCAGAGGTAGAGCATGCTCTTATGTATAGAATCAACTTGGAGATTTTAAATCTGTATGCAGTTGATAAAGGTATATTGCTGTATAAGTAATGGAAGATTGTAGAGTAAACGTAATCACGTTTATCATAAAGAGCTTGGGTATAAAATTATTATCAACGTAATTTTCAAGTAAAATATCCAAATATGAAACAAACATGTGGTATTTTTCTATCTCAACCTCAGCAGGATATATCCTATTGACATAAGGATAAAGATAACCATTGTTTAGTAAGGGATAAATAACAAGATGGTGTTGAATAGTTTAGAGTAAACATTCTCTTCGAGGGCCGGTGACATGAGTAGGGGATGTTTTCCCTAAACTATTCAACACTATCAACTTATTTATCTTACTTAAACAATTCCCATCCATAGCCCTTACGAAATATTTACCCATTCATAAATCCATATTTGCAACGGGATTTTGCCTATTCATATATCCAACTCTCAGATATGTTACGGACCAATTTGGAAAATGGGATCTTTAAGCACTGTTTTAATATGTATTACTTATTTTAAGAATTGTAACAAAGTAACTGAATTCTTGTAGAAAATGTAATATAGCTATCTAAAATAGATAGGACTGAATCGTTCACAGTACAAGTTATATCGCATGCAGCTGTTTTTCACGTGACTAGTATAAACATATAATTATCAAGCTGAATGTAGGAAATGTTGATAGTGCAGGGGCATACGCTTTTTTGAAGAAGATAAGAACAACTTTGTGGTTTATTCATTTTTTATTTGTCAAATATTTTTGCCAACTGATTGTTGTTTGTAACAAAGGAGATGCCGTTTCCAATTTATTTGCTCTTTGTACTAAGGGAATGTCACGGTGATCTCCCCATAACGTTTTTTGTCTTATGTATGCTTATTGTCATTTATTAAATGACAATTTCCACTCTGTCTTTGTTATGTTTTTAACTACTACTTATGCGGTAGACCAGCCATATCACAAGGATAACATAATTCTTTTTTGCTGTTTATTTTACGAAAATAGATTCATAACTTTATCTGTTCTAGACGGCTGTTTGTTTAAACTAAATCTGCATATGTGTTGTCTGCTCAGGTAAAAACCGGGCCTTTTAATCAAGTAAGTCATTCAGACGACCGACAGCATATGTTATCGATCCTAGATGTCGGTGATGAAATAGGAATTTTCTCTTGTCACAAAGGAAGTACATATGGAAATCGCATTTGAATCAGGTTTGTCAAAATTATTGTTTACTAGTACTACATGGGCATGTTGTACTTATACATATTTAGGTCATAGATCCTATATGGAATATATCCGACGTTTTACTATGCAAATACAAAGACGCAAACTTGAATTGATTAAAAAATACATCATGTATTTTTTTTCCTTTAGACAACTATGGCTTCCATTTCAACATCATTTACTGATGACTTTCTTAGATGTTCAATCTGTTTTGAAATTTACAAAGAGCCACAGATCCTGCCATGTCTTCATTCTTTCTGCAAGGGGTGCATACTAAATTTCACGCAAACTGAAAGTTTAAATAGACAATTCAACTGCCCGTTATGCAGAGAGCCCTTCTCAACTAACGAAGCAGGATTAAAAACAAACTTTTTCTTACAGAATATGATAGATGAAATAACAAAAATGGATTCCACGGAAATTTTCTGTTCGTTTTGTAAACTATTGAACGAAAATGAACTTGCTGTCTCCCAGTGTATTACTTGTCTAGACTACCTCTGCAAGAAATGTTCGAAATCAAGACATACCTTCACTAGACAAACGAAGGATCACAAAGTTGTATCTCTTCAGGATATTAAAGCAGGAAAATATAATAAGGAATTAAGATCTGCTCAAAAAACACCATGCCTACAGCACAGCGATGAAAAGCTTCGTTACTTCTGTATTCAATGCAATTTATCAGTTTGCCGAGATTGCATTATCTTTAATCACAGAAATCACGATTTCAAACTGATTTCTGATGCTCGAAAGGAAAAAGAGGAACAAATTACAAAGGTTATTTCACCATTAAGAGAAAAAGTAGAGATTTTAAAGAAGAACGATGCAGAAATCGGTAGAAAAATGGAGGATATCGTAAGTAGAGAGTCAATAATTAAAGCAGAAATTGAAAAGGTGTACAAAGAAGCAATGAAATGTATTGATATGTCTCATAAAAATGTTCTGAAAGAGCTAACCGAACGAATGAAATTAGCGAAAGGACGTCTGCAGTTGGTGCGTGATAAATCTGATGAGGTTACAAGCAACATTGAAGAATCAATAAACCTTTCAGTTGCGATCATAAATCGGGGGGATGATGTGGAAGTTTTGTCTGTTCTTGACGATATAATTGAAAGACTTACAACATTAAACAATTCTGAAGTGATACAGGAATGTCAAGTTCCTTCTGTTGATATCCCGAACTTTCAAATCAAATGGGAAGAACCACATTGGATATTATCTACCTCCGAAAACGCTATAGAATCGGAAAGAAAACCAAAGACAAGTTTAACTCAGCCGAAAGAAGAAAAGCCAATGGACCCAAAGGAGAATACTACTTTATCGGAAACAAACATTGCAAAGATGAGCGCTGCAGAGAAATATTTTGCAACTATGCCAAAGGCAAGACGTTTAGCTGAAAATATGGATACAATGCAAGGAAAACTTAGCCTAAGTTTAATAAAAGTATTTGTCATTAGCGAAGAAGATGAAAAACGTAACCCAATATATTCTAGTGTTGCTTGGATAAGTAATGATCGATTAATCGCAATAGATAAAGAAAATTGCAAAATAAAAATGCTTACGTTATCATCTGGAGAGATAAATTCTGTGAAGGTAAAAAATGCTTTAGGAATTGTTACTTCCAAATGTTTGCTGGCATGCAGAACCACAGACTCAGATTTGATATTTTTTGATCTCGATTTGAAGGAACAAAATAAGATTAAAGACGTAATGACTGTTATTCCTCATGACCCTGACAAAAACACACTAGCATGGATGTCAAAAAATAAAATCTTCATTAAAACTGAGAAAACTGTCACGGAGAAAGATTTATTGGATAATAAGGGCAACAAAACGTCCTTATGCTCACCAAAATATGCATGTGCTCTACCAAATAATATATTTGTCATTTCTGATTGGGGAGACGATTGTGTGTATTTTCTGGATGAAGGCTTCAAAATCATCAGAAAGATCGATACTTACCCTGGGTCAATTGCATTTGACAGTAAAACAAATGTCTATATCACCGACTATCATAACAACTGTTTATTCTTGTTTAATACAAAAGGAGATTTGATAACCCAGTTAAAACTAGGCAAAGATCAAAGTTCGCCGCGATCCATTGCAATTTTGAAAGACAAAGTTCTTGTAGCCGGTAAAGGAAAAATCTGTATGTATGATATACAGTTCTAAACATATCAAATGTCAATCAGTAGAACACGCTTATAAGAAAGAGGCGGACAATTTGGCCTTGTAATAAGCGTAATTCGTTATATCCGTTAAATCAATAATAGCCCCAGCTAATTCACTCTAACTTTGCTGCTGTTTTTAATGTCTCTCCTAAATCTAAGTACTCATTCTTTCGAACATTGTTCTTGTCAATTTTTTAGTTGATTATTCCCCATATTAACATAAACACCTGAGGGCGCTTTGGTTGCAACTGCCTTTTTCAATCTTTCAGGAATAACTTAGGTGGGTTATAATTTGTCATCTTGTTATTTTGGTATTATTTATTTGAACTGTCAGGCACTAAGTAAATATCCTTATCTGCAGTAATGTAACTCCTGAATATTTGAAAGTATCCTTTAGATTTAGATATATATGCATTATTGCTTGACCTCTGCATCCCCTCGGATCGAGGCTTTTACCTTTTGAGATAGTGTGTTGTGAACTTTGACCTCTGAATTATGTTTGAATGTTTAATTATTATAAGTAAACTTTGCTTTCTTGTTTTGCCAAAGACATAAAAAAACTTTCGATAGTATGTTTTCTGAATACAGTACTACTTGTGCCCAGTTTTCGCCACAATAACATTTATTTAAATATATTCCTTGTGTTTTTATGCATGCACTTATCTGAGATTATGTATTTTGAGATCTCGGGAAATAATCAGTTTTTTGTGAGCGTCATTTCATCAGATTGTTCGCTATTACCATGTTTTACTGTATTGAAAATAAATTCCAAAACTCATGTCATAATAAAGTATTTATGTATTTTTTTTTAACATTTGTACTTGTAAAAGTAATACATTCAATATAAATATTTACAGTTTCAATTTTTTTCCGTATTTTTTATGTATTCATGGACTCTCATGTATTACTGTTTGGTTATGCATGTTAAATGCATATTGGGTTTGAAAGAAGCATTAATAGAATGCGAATCGTACATTTTATCAAACTAAAAAGAAATCAAGCGGAATATTTTTCAATGCACAAAGCAAACTTTTTTCAAGATTAAGTTCATGTATCAATCACTCTATATTACAACTTTCACGTAATGTTTTATGATAAATTTCAATGTCTTTGACATTTGACTCCCAGGATTATATGCCTTCAGTAATGTACAAGTGCTTTATCAGGCATTTTGTAATTGTATTGTTTTACCTAGTAATATTTGTCAACTCACATTATGTTCTATTTTACATTTTAGAAACGGGCCAAACAAATATCTCATTTAGTATTAATATGCCTATATATCAGTAGAGGAACGAACTTCAATAGATATGTATGATTTAGATATTTTGCATCAATATGGCATATTCTATAAAAAAAATATACACTTTCAACTAGAGTAAAGCTCGTTGCAAAGCAACGAGTAAATCTTCCGTCCCGGAAGTAGCTTTTAATTAAAATAAAACGAGTAGTGACATCTCCAGAGATCTAAATCACCCAAATATATGTTGGCTATTTGCAAAAGAAAGCCATTTCTGGCTACTTCCGGTTCGACCGGAAGTGATGTCGACGGACGGAAAATAAAGTTTTGTGTTTTCAGTGACAGATATTACCCGAAAACGTGTCAATAAGGGCAAAAATAAGCATTTTCTTACAACTTCCGGTTTGGCCGGACGTATTTTGACGATCTTAATAGATTTAACTTGGCATTTTAAACAACTTTGCTTCTTTGGTGTATTACAAATTCTCAATACTTTAAAAGATATCAAGAAAAAAACTTCAGGCTCCACTAGATCCCTTATTTTTGGGTCTGCCCTTTTTCGAGGTATCATTTGAAAGATCTTGGAATTCTACACTTCTTTTGTTCTATGTGTTTTAACAAAATCTTTCAAGGTAAAAAGATTTCTTTTCATTCCCCGTTATTATTAAGGAAAAATACTACTTAAATGTATGAAAATATTAATTACAGTTTTGGTCATTTGAAATAAGCTTATAGGCATCTAAACTCCTTTCAAATTCTGAAATATTTTTAGAAACTTTTTACGATATCTTTCGTAAACAGTGCGTGTTATATACACATAGCAACACAGATGTCGCGTTTGATCACACCTTGACCACGTGTCGAAGGTACGTAATTTTCAACAATACCAAGAGCCCGATCGAGGATTTCTCAGCGTTAAAGCTGATGTAAATTGTAATGTAAAAAAAATATGAATGTTGAGAAACAATCAAATTTGAATCTGATTATTTTTTTTCTTTTCTTCTTTTTTACATTGTACAATGAAAATGTGGATATCTTGCGTTGTATTGGTTAGAAAAAAATGCAGAATTTACCTTATGCTTTGAATCTTCATAATTTAGCATTTAAAGGTACTTGGACACAGATTTGAAGTTAATATTTTTCAATTACGAAAAAATTGAAGTTTTAATAACTTTTAAATGAAATAAGATTTTTGATTAATTTTTGTGTGAAACGCTATTAGAATATATAATTCGGGATATTATGGAGAAAATATTAACTTCAAATCTGTGTCCAAGTACCTTTAATTACACATGATTGAGAAATAAATTAGTTAAAAAGATTCCATTTAATGTTTAAGATTTATAATATCAGTAACCTTTATTTATCCCTTATGAAATGTTTTCAATTTAAAAAAAAACAGACAAACAAGTATTTATTGACGAAACGTCAGAGATACTCAAGTTATACATAGAAAGTCATCTCTGAAGTATTTCATATCGTAAATATCTAAATAAAAAGGGTGAAGACGCAGGTTATTGCGTTTCAACATCAATACATATTCTACATATTTTACGAAATAAAAGACATTCATTTTACATGTACATGCATATAGTGGTTTCAGCATGAAGTTGCACTTGTCTAGTAATACACCGCTGAATTAAACTTTTTTTTAAAACCTAAAACTCAAAGAGAACTAGAATTATTTTAATGAATGGTACTAATTTCAAAAACAATTTGTGAAAAAAAACCAACCAAACAAACAAAAAAAAAAAAAAAAAAAAAATTACCTTTCTCTATATATTTTATGAAGCATAAAACTATAGTGGTGCTTTCTATTGGACATATTCGGTTGGGTGAACATCTACAAAATAGCCACTAGGGATCTTCCGTATGGAGCGCATTGTTTGCAAAAAAAAAAAATATCTTAAGTAAAGTATATAAAGTATTTTAAACTGCTCTTTTACATCTTGAATCGGATGCCGTCAAACATCAGTAAAGGTTTTTAACATGAACTAATACTATATACCATACAATCTTGCCTTCTTAAAAAAAGTAATACAATTTAATATAATCGGGTTAATAAAATAAAATTAGTCCAATAATTCCAGGCCCTTAAGAACTATTCCAAATTGAGGGAGCATTAATTTTCGGTGAACTCATTTAAGAAAAATTAATCCTGGTAGGTAGCATGGGTTTTTTAAGTGAAGGGAGGGGGTATAACAGTCAGGAAAAAATCGACGCACTCGAAGAAATCTGACAGGTAAAATAGGTTTCAATATCAGTGAGTTTCATTGCTAAATTGTTTTCATTAAATTAACTACAACATTACTCTATTTAACTATACTGCAACAAAAATTGTGGAAAGGGGGGGGGGGCAGCCTGGCAATGTTCAATGAACATTTTCAACAGTAAAAACTTTTTTTATGATGCTACGTGTCTGTTCCTTCAAAAGCCAAAAACAGATCATCAGATAGGCTTAACTTATGTGGGGGTACTACGATGGCGGATATGAGTCTAGATGTGTCTAAAAAAAATTACACGATTTATCATTATGTCTTTCGTACAGTCATGTATATTCCTTGAAATTTGTACATGTACAAAGGTAAAAAAAAAGTTAACACGGCCTATGATTTTTTTTTTTAGATGTACATTACTTAAAATTTCTACATGTACAAAAATATAAAAAGTTAACACGCATTATTTTCTTTCTTTTATACATGTACATTTCTTGAAATTTGTACATGTTCAACAATATAAAAAGTAACAGGGCATTGAATTTTGTCTTTTGCATATGTACATTTCTTGAAATTTGTACATATGCAAAAGGCAAAATTATAGGTCGTGCAGTTTTATTTCAGAGATGCTGATCTCGGCCATTTTGAGGATGTACTCGACTTCAAACTTCTGATTCAGAATTGGAAGCCAAGGTTTATAACCACAGATTATTTAGAGTCAAACTCCAAATTTCTCTTTCGAACTAGCCCGAGCCAATGTTGACAACCTACTTGCAAGATTATTTATATTATTTTCAAGGGGTAAGAAATACTGAGGTTCATGTATAAAGAATATATTTATACCATTTAGTAGTTTTACGGTTTTTGCATTGAGTATAGCGTCAAATCACGTTAACTTTGATAAACTAGCCTGCCTGTCTGATATGCGCAATATACAGACAGGTGATCAGTAATGTAAAGATCCCACTGCTGGCCACTCTTATTCGCTGATAAAACACTTTATTATGTCTGCAGTCATATTATCTGTAAAATGGAGCAAAAACGAAAAACAACATAGAAATGCAAATTAAGAATTGTTACATCGATTTGTATACCAAATTATGGCTTTATATTTTGCTTTGTTGAAAAGAAATAAACTTGAGAAGATGGGTACTTTTTATTGAATACGACAAAAACGATGACGTTTTAGAACGTGACGTTACAGCAGCGGATAGCGATGCAATTTTGGGTTTTACTCAGGAAAAAACCCCAAATAAACTCTATAAATGTCGGAGGAATCAAGAAAACTTGTCATAAAAGCGAGTTGTGCATACTGTAGAAGAACAAATTTTCGTGGGCATAAAATTTCGTTGTATTGTCATCAAAAATAGTTTCGTGGGCCTTTAATTTCGTTGTTTTAAAAGTTAACCCTATTCAATATGTAGTCATATAAAATTTCGTGTGGGATTTAATTTCGTTGAATATTGTTAACAACGAAATAAACGAAATTTAATCCCCCACGAATATTTGTGCTTTTACAGTATGTGTACAAATATTACAGGCTGTATCTGAGTGACAGAGACTCTGTATCGGATGAGGACAATATGTAAAGCTACGGTTTAACTGTAAAAAGTCTTAATAAAAACTTTTTAAAAGTTGGATTGTCAAGGAAAGACGTAGGTGCTTAAGAGGTGCGTATCCTGTGAAAGCAGAGTTAAGTAATAAAAGAAATTAAAACCTTAACAAAAGAAATCATACAATGAGAACAAGTCTTCAAAAATAAATTTCAAGTATTAGAAAAAGGATTTAATGAGTGGGCATTGAATTATACTGTGTGAAATATAAAGGAATAGTATTTTTTAGAAATTCTCGACGCTATATATGTTTTGACGTTACATTCCCGTTAAGTGTGCTCCGCGGGTTCAAAACATGTTAATTTTAAAATAAAGTAAATTGATTTCTGTTAAATCAAATGGAATGACACTTCACACATCAACAACATAAGGATTTTTACATATTATATTGTGTTTGTTTTAAATTTCTAGTGAGATATATAACGAAGATTGACATTGTCCACGAACTTTTCGAACAACCCTCGTATAATCACCTTGTTGAGGGATTTAAGATGCTGCAAATAATACTTAATAATTGCAACAATGACAGACTGATGACAGTTGAAATTCTGTTACATCTGTTCATCTATTCTGAGCGTACTTTTGAACATACCAGTACATGTATTCATAAAAACATTTTT